AAAAAAAAAAAAAAAAAAACAACAACAAACCAACAATGTTCCGGTGATGTTATAGAACTTATCGAGGGGGGCCTCGTTCCCCAACGGCAGGTAGAGCGCCTACTATACGGAGCCCAGCGGTAAAAATTGCACCACCAACAGACCGTACAGCAAAGATTCCCCACTTTCCCCCTCACACAGGAATCATATCAGCTACTTAGTTGGTGTGAGTGGGAGCTAGCATAGAGGATTGCAAGCAGAGCTCAACGTTGGTTGGTTCGCGCTTTCCCGCGCGCGTGCGCGCCCATAGCACTGGCACTTGTACAGCTCATCCTATGGGGATGACCAAGCCAAACTCTACTAGCTGGGGTGACCAACTTAGCTACTACCTAATGATTTCAATGCTCATACTTATTTGTCATTGGTTAGTGTTTCGTGTATTAGTACATAGTAGTATCTTTTCTCGGCGTATCACATCGCACGCACACACAGCAGAACAAATCAGAATAATGTGACAGCTGTGATACCAAAACTTCTCTTCCTTCTTAGCGCCAGGGTGGATACCTACTCTACTCTGTTTACTCTCCCATCCATGGTACGGTATATGCTTCTCCACTCTGCTACGACTTTCACACTTCAACTAAAACGCACTGTATTTCCGTCATGTAACGATTCAAAAGAAAGCTATATATGTATATATTTATATAATTTCATATGTGTGTGTGAAACAAAAGGGATTACATTGAAGAGGATAATCTAGGGATATGTAGACTCGGAAAGACAAGAAAGCGCGTCGGGGAGATAATCAGTAATTGATTATCAGATCCAGATATGTTCTGATTGTATGTTGGGACTCGGCTAGTACTTCGATTGAATGGGGACTGGGTGTGTACTTGTGAGGTGCAAAATGCGCTCTATCGGTAGAAAGGATAAGGTTGAGAGACTTATATTCAGGTAGCATATGAGACCAAGTATTCAAGGATGCACATTTTGTATGTTGCACTATACTCGTAGCTGTTAGTGTTATGGGAAAAAAAGGGGGTATGTATATATCTCTTCTCTCCAGTATGTACTATCCAATCACGGTTACACTCTTCTAGGAGAGGACAGACGATGCTCACGTGCAAGGGAGACAATAATAATATAGAGACCACGGCTGAAACTATGACTTTGTGTATACCTTGTCTAGACACGGTGATCCCCTGTGCACACCCAAGTCCCCATGAAAAAGCTAGGTAGGGGTGATATAACGATCGATGGGCGTCATGCAAACTTGGGAATTTGTCTCTGCGCTTCGCCGTTAGGTAATCTTGATAGTTTTAGCGGGCATGGGAGCTACACAACGGTCGCCTTCTCTGTAGGGGAAGCGTTGTGTACCACAACTGGGGCAAGGGTTTCATCCCGTTGCATGGCAGCTCGCATGGAAGCAGAGCTCTTCAAGTTTCTACAAATACAGGAGTAAACAAACTGCTCGAGCGATATGAAAAGGTTTACAAGCCTTGAAGAAGTATTCCAACACAAGAAGAGCTGACGTGGAAACAAAAAGTCATGTCAGGTTGCCTGCCATGCGAAGTCCCCAGAATAATGGGGTATCACGCAAACAAGCTAACCTCAAAGGACACTGAGAACATTCTGCATCGCAGCTGTGTTGGAGTCCTCTCTTCGAGAGACATAAGCCCGGACTTCTTGCACACTGAGGCCAGCTTCGGTTTGTCCACCTCCCCCAGCGCCTCTCCCAGAACTTGTCCCAATATTATTCCCAGGTCTGCTGCTGCTACTCGCAGCGCCGCTCCAAACCCTTTCTCGTAAAGCCTCAGAACCTACAACAAAAAGGCTACCAACCTCCAGCAAAACATCCAGCGCGCCGCCAGGGCCCTTGACCTGCTCGTCTATGTCCCAAGACTTGAGCAGATCTGTGTACTGTGTCATATCCTTAGTGACCATGAGCCCACCGGGTCCATTTACCGCGAATCGCTTAAAATGCTCCAGAAGTAAGCTACGGGCCCCCATGGCTACCTCCGTTAGCAACTGTCGCAGATTAGAGCCACTAGGCGGTAGTGATGTTGCTGCCATGTTATGTACACGAGAGAGAAAGGTGCAAATCGAAGCACAAGTCTAAACATTTATCGGTTAGTATGGCATATCTTAGTTACCAGGCGATCATCCAACTAACCGGTGTCTGCAGCTTCTCCAACCAAGCTGCATTATCTCCTTCCTTGGGCCGAAAGTCATTCTTCCTCTGGCTAGCAAGAAGTTTATTAATCCACGTCAAAGAAGCGTCAATGATTTTCTGCTCAATCGTATTGACTTTCTCCTCGATTCGCATAGTTGTCAAGTTTGTCTTCTTTTCCATTTCTCGGCGAGCAGTGATGCTCCCGGTTGCTAGGGGAATGAGTAATGTGTTTATGCACATAACCATCAAATTTGCAATGCCGATTGCGTTCCGGACCGCTGGGAGGTAAGCAAAATCAGGCTCCGTCTTTCCTGATTCTTGCGACGTCGCCATCTCCAATGCGGCATCGAGACAAACCTCAATGTAACCTTCTCCCATCATAGAAAGGAGAAGAGTCAACAGAGCCAACATGTCCTTGGGGGTTTCGCTGCTTACACTTAGCTCCAGACCCCGACTAACTCCCTCAGCAAGCCATTTGAGCATTCGTTTGGCGTGTGATATGCTCGGAAGGCCATCCTCTTCGGTAAGTTTGATTTCGGTTCGTCTTATGTCGTTGGCATCCCTCAAGCCCGCCACCTGAAGTAACATCCTTCGCTGTGTCGGTGAGTAATCCGAGGACTCAAGGCGATTGATGTACGCATCCCGTGCAGAAGATAAAAGTTCAGTACCCGACTTCGAAAGAGACGCCATAAAGGTAGTTGCTGCCTTCTTTCTACGTGCATGGAACGTGGTGAATTTGAAAAGCAAAGATGTGTATAGCTCCTCCAATGTTTTCTTCTCCCTCTCGATATATGAGGAACCGACAAAGTATGGCACGAAGAGATCTTCCAGCTGTTGATCGAGAATCAATGCCGTCTGAGCGGAAATGGTATCGGGGTGTTCGGTTAAACCATGAGCCTTTAAATCATCGACTAGAGCGCTGATATAACTGCGGGAGCTCTGTAGGGAGCGTAAGAAGGCGAGAGATGAGATGCTATTGGCCTTCTCCAGAACCATTTCAAGTCTCTGTTGGATGGATTGCTGGAACACACGCTGCAAAAACTTCCCGAGGACCTGTTCGTAGTAAGGGAAGGCTCGCTTTATAATAGCTGATTCCTCCTGAACTACAACCTTAACCTCGTCGACGAGTGACTGAAGACTAGGTTCCACCTTTAGAGGTTCCGAATCCGGGTCTGCGAGTTGTTCCCAAGCTTCTGGATCCCCACCTACTTCTTCTGTAACCAACTGACTTCGATCGATAAAGAACTGGTGCTGATTGACAAATAAAGCAATAACACTAGAGCCCCCATTGAAATCTTGGAGCACAGTTGCACAATCCTTCATACCTTCAAAGTTTGCCTTACGATAGAAGTCGTCGAACTGTTTCAAGAGATCCTTCTCTAACGTCTCTGAGAATTTCTCAATGATCTCCCTTGTATTTAGTCTGGTGAATCCTGTCTCTTCAAGCGTACCCTCTTCTGCAGCCCCATTCCCAGACAGCCCATTGTTCTTTCCTCCCGAGTCGTTCCAGCTCTTCGGATCAAGCCTTTGGCTGATCCTCAGTAACTGCCGCGCTATCTGTGCAGAGCGAACTTTGGCTTCACCAGTCCCGGATCTCCTCAAGTTCTCCAAAAGTGTAAGTTCTCCCTTGTTACTTACGCTATCCCAACACTCAAGGAGAAAGTGGGCGTCAAGTGCTCGGCGTCTTTGTCGGTCAAGCTCTTCCAGCTTCCGGCCTGTTTCAACAGCCATATTACCGGTAGATCCTGAAAGTTCACTCCCGGTATGCCCAGATCCAGCACCTGTCCCATTGAGCGACGTATCAAGTTGTTGGAAAGATTCAATGGTCTGTTTCAGCTTCCTGCCAAGTGTATTGATATTCTGCGAGTGCTGGGCCTCGGCTCGGCGGACTGCAGCCGAAAGCTCATTCTCCTTGATCTCTAAGTCACCAGAAAGTTCACCCAGTCTCCTCTGTGCATTTTCGAGGGTCCGAATGAGTGGTTTGGGATCGAATAGTTGATTCCCAGTAGTGGGGCCTAGCGTAGAGCGACGGTTTGAGATGGCACTGTCAGAAAGTGCTTCGATGAATTCTTTGACGATAAAATCGCGGCTCGAAAAGTCCTCAAGAGTGAAACTGGGGCCCTGAGGGAAGACAGATCGCGACGTGGGATTTGTAGAGGTAATGGACGCACTATCCGGCATCGTTCTAGCTAACGGCAAGGCTTCGTCGGCATCGGGCTATTAAACGGTGTAGTTTGATCACGATGCTTATACGCTGCAGGGTGAGATATATGCTCGCATGTAGAACCGTGAACTGCTGATGGGTGTGGAAAATGGAACTCTTTTCTTAGTTTCACTTCTAGGGAATGCAGGATAATAGCTTACTAGTAGTATTAGTATGAGAGTCTGGAGTTTTGAGTGCCGAGTTGGTTCGATTTCGTAATTGCGTTTCTCTCCCGTAAATTACACCATAATTAAAGGAGAGGCGTGCTTGTAACAAATAGGTCTAACTCCTCAGGTGTACTCAGTGAGATCCATGTGGTCAGGCTGTCTAGTAGAAATGAAACCTATGACCGATGTAACTCTCAAGAGGTTTGTAAATCCCATACCGTAATAAGGTCTTAACTACCTAAAGGCCACATTACCACTAGTCGTATGTACAGTGTCTACTACTGCATACAGTATGCTCCATACCTACTACATCATCTTCCCCAAGCATATTATAGGAAACAGATGGAATGCCACCAATGTCCATCCCACAATGGTTGGGTTTGCATTTGTTTACGACCACTAGGTTGTCATTGTGGCAATGCACTATAGGTCCGTACATCTGTACATACTCCGTACATACATATTTCAAGCGGATTATACGGAATTGATAAGAGTGGGAATATGGACGAGCAAATCCACTTGGTGACTGAGCTGTCCAATTAGTAGGTAAGGCTCTATGGTTGCCTAGACCCTGTAATGTTAAACGTAGTCATCCACGATGTCTTTGATGATGCTTTGCGCAAGGAGATACTTAGAAAGACAAGGCGCACTTTGCTACCTTCCTACCTGCTCACACTGACCACTTCAGATTCTCGGCACCACTAATTGATCCAACAAACACCTGGCAGTTTCATCTCAGCTCTTTCTCGAGCATCCGCACCTAAAACCATGGTATCACAACGGGATAAAGAGCTGTTCAGAGATGACATTCGTGCCCGGGGAACAAAACTTAGTGCTGCTGATCGTGAGAGCCTTTTGAAACCATACCTACCAGACCCCTCGGAGCTTCCACATCGGCCACCGCAGCGGCGCAGAAAAGCATCGCCTAGGAAGACACCTATCCGGACTTTTCTCAAGTCGCAACTGCACCAGCTGACCTACACTCTCATTCACATTTTCTTTGGTATCGTCGTTCGCCTCGTCCAGAGCTATCATGCCGTTGTGGATAGGGTGTTTGCCATCGTCTATTATCACCATCGCACTCCCGAATTGATCAGAAAGGATGTGAAGAATTTGGATCGTTTGCCGGAGCATTTAAGTGCTATATTGTCACTGCGGCAGGAGGAGGATTCTTTAACGATTTTAATGGACGAAGTGGCAGAACTTGCTGCATGGAGCGTTAGTGCCGGGATCCCTGTGTTAAGCGTTTATGAGAAGAGTGGTGTGTCTGTCCCCTACGAATCGAAACAGTGCGAAATAATCTTCCTAACAAGCTATTATGCCTAGGAGTCCTAAAATCATGCATTCCCACATTGCACCGCATCGTTACAAACAAGCTATCTGCGTATTACGGCTCTCCTTCCCAACAACCAACGTTGCGACTTTTTGCCCCTCATCACCCT